GTCAACCAATCTCATTCCTTACCATTTTGCCACTTTGGTTTTTATCTTTAAACTTTTATCAAAAGGTTAGACTCTTGTCAATCCTTGTAGTGATGCAAACAACTATACTTCTACAATATGTAGTGAAGTGAGATATTTTCCACTTGTGAGTTGAGTGAGGCATTGTTGATTTTAAAATCCAAGCCATTATCCTCCACTTTGAGATGATGCAAATTCTCCTTTCTCATGATTGTGGGTAGTAAGTATGTTTTCCACACGGACAATGATGATGATGTCTTATCTCTTAAAATTAACCAACACACTTGTGTTTCAAATTTTTAAAAGAGGAACTACATGTACCCTGATCCCATATTACACGAAAGGTGGTACGTAGGCACTAATGGTTCGCAACTGCAGAGGGTACAAAAATCATAAAAAAATACTTCTTTCCTTACCTCCACCATCTATTTCTATACAACATATTTTCATAGCCAAAATATACAGATTTTACAAAGAGGTTCCTGCGGAGTACCGTAGATGTTTAGGGTGCTAATACCTTCCCTTTGCATAACCAACCCCCTTACCTTGAATCTTTCCCCCTCTTTTTGGGTTATTCGCTCTTTTCCAATTCCTTTGGAAACAATAAAGCGCGGTGGCGGTTTTTATTTTTGATTTGTATAAAGTCTAGTCAATCCAATGGCTTAGTCTTTAACATTTCTACCGCTACACCTGCAAATTTACAAGAAGACACATTCAAGTTGACGCCCTCATGGTGTTCAAAGCAAAGCCAAAATTCATGTGAAACAAGTTAAGGAAAACAACAGTTTCTAACAGACCTGCATAAATTGATAAGCGGAACCAGTTCGCTAGGCATCCTCCAAACAGAAGATGAAATCAGGCTGCTACAAAAACCAACTCCTGTCTTAACATAACAGTTGGCCTGCAGGAAACTGAGAAGGGATTAAGTCAGAAAATACAGCTCATCTTAACGGAATTCTAACTATCAAAACAAAAACTTCTAAACAACCCATTAACCGCCTCTCCAATAGATTCATATCCTCTCAAAAACATTCCAACTAACTTCTAAAAATTCTAAATAGAAATACAACAGAATCCTAACAGAATTAATAATAGAAACTTCACAAAAAAATCAGGAACTCTCCTCTTTCTCTGAACCTTTATCAACTCCGACCTCCAATCCACAGTTTCCTCTTGCACCAATCTTCCGCAACTTCTCAATGACCACTTTACAACATCACCTTCAATAATTCTCAAACCACCTACTATTGCTTCATCCCTCTGCATCTTCAATCAATATGTGCAATACCTTCAACCACAATCATGCATCTTGATCATGCATAATACACCTAAATACCCTGCAAAATAGAATTTCAACCAACCTTTTAACAGCCAACAAAGATAAGTTTTAACCTCCAAACCTCATTCACCCAAACCTGTAACTAACAGAGCTCTAACAGCAAACCTTCACCAAGAATAAAAACTAACTTCACAAACTGTCTTGTAACTGTTTCATAACGACCTTTAAACAGAAACTTACAGCAAATAAAATAATAACAGAAAGAAAATCTCCTAACCAAAACTAACTAAATGAAAAGCCTAAACCCCTAACTACTTTTTAACAGTTTCCAACTTCTAACCAGTCTAACCAATCTCTAACTAACTAACCACTCCTATAATAGAAAACTAACAGATCCCAACAAACTCCCAAAACATTCCCCAACAGAAAAATTTCCAAATTAACTCACCAACTGCCAAAACAGAAGCACAAACAAGTTCTAACTAACTTCATAACCAATTTACAACCTCTCTAACTGCTCACTTTTTCACCCTCAAATCAATAACAGAATCAATTCGATCCTAGGGCTGAGATTGATTCACCTCCAACTGAATTCCTCACTTCCCCTATCTATATAATCATTAACTCACATTCAAATCCTGACCACCTTTTTTTGCCATACTTTCTCCAAATTCTCAACTGAATTCATCATCTTCTTCCCTCTCATCCTCAATTTTCACAACCACCTCTAACCAATTCTACAACAGACTTCCAACAGAGATTTCCTAACAGATTGAAAACAGATGACATAATAACAAAAGAAGAGATGGAGAGATTCTCGATTTATAAGAGAAGAAACACAAAAAACTCACCATCTTCTTTCTTTATTTCCTTCTTCAATCATCACCTTATACATTTTCCCTCACGTCCTTCAAACATCACCTTCTTCTGCAACCTCATCATCTTCAATGCACCTTCAATCTCTTACATAACTTCACCTTCATTCATCAAATTTCAGCCATCAGCAACAAAGATTCTGCATCGAATTATCATCCTCAATTCAATCCTTCAACCTCTGCAGTAACCAGAACGCGCCATTATTTCAACACAACACACGATGACAAAGAACATCAAAGAAGCGCATATTGTTTGTAGAAGGAACTTTAATAGGAAGATAAGGTAGAAGGAATATAAAAGGAAGAAGGAGAGAATATACCTAAAGATTCTCGATTGTCTCAACATTTCTCTCAGTTTCAAGAACCACCGAATATATATCGGTTGGTAAGTCATGATTCTTCATTTATTTATCTTTCTATTTGTGAGCATGTAGAAGACGATAGAATCAAGATCTGAAGCTACAATTTGACATCCAAATCCATCTCTAAAGGTGAGGATTTCAAAGTTCTTTGTTGAGATATGGAACAATTTGAAGTGACGATGAATCCACAGAGTTGAGAAGGTTGAGACCGGATCGAATTGAGACGAAGGCAGTCGCAGTGTGGTGACGAAGGTCATTGGAGGAATAGATAGATATCGAGCTTGATGGAGACGAGAAGAGAGCGAGTTTGAGACAACGGCGTGAGCTCTGATAGGAACTGAATCGGCGACGATTTTTGGCTTCAATCGGAGAAGAAATTCTTTCACAGTCACACGACGGCCAAACCTAATCCTCTTCCAATTTTATCTTATTATTCTTATTTTTTTATTTTTTTATTTTTGTATATTGTGACAAAAAAAATCTGAAAATAGGCGGTGATAGTATGTGAGGTGGGCTGAACTTCAAAGACCCGTTAGCATTTTTTATAGAGGGTGGCTGTTGGCTTTACAAACAAAAAAGGGTAATATGGTGGGCTCAATTTGAATGGGCCCAGCGCCCAGAGTTCCATTGTTGGCTATACACCTGCATGCAATTATACACCCCTTGGTATGATTTGTTTTCTCTATGTTTCTTACTTGTTTCAACATTTTTTTTGTCAATTATTTTGTGTGATATTATTGGACAAAAGAGATTTACAAGAAGTTTTCAAGAAGCTTATAAGCTATCTAAGAGCATAATTTTCACCAAGGGAATTCGAGGGAGATTTTAGTAGAGTTTTCTTATTGCTTGTGTGATTATGAAGAGGCAACGGACCTTCTCTGTTTGGTATCATCGTGACCTTAATTTATCCCTCATTTCTGCACTTTATCGTATTTCTTGACCTCTTTTCTTGAAATCATGAGAAGTAGGGCTTTACTGCAAACTATGCATGCTAACATTAGGTAGAGATTTCCTTTTTGTTAATCCAAATATTAGGACCACCATTGCATAATAACATTAGGTGTAGAAATAGGTTAGTCTCCCTTTGACTTTTCTTTCTCCTTTTTGCATATGCATTTAAAACAAAAACATCTTTTTTCTTTCAAACTTCAAAACACATTAAAACTACTGATGAGAATCATGCATTTTCTTAGTATGGGAAATGATAATCGGGTCTCTTCCCGATCTTAATGTTCTTCCATCTCAAGCCTAGGTGTGGTTCAAGTCTCAAAGACTCATTTCATGGATAAGTAGAAAAGTGGCTAATATCTCTCTCTTGAGGTCAACTAGTCGTTATCTGCAACAAAAATACAAACCAATTAAAACCTTTTCATGCGCTCAAGCACCTTTTCTATAAAACCCTTTTCAGGTAAGGACATGATTAATTAACTTTTGTGCCAATGCATAAGTCTCCAAAGGTCGAGCTGCGGCAGAAGGCAGAATTAACATCGTCCATAAAAAACACAAAACAAATAAAACATGTGAGCCGAACTACGGTAGCTCTGATTCCTCAAAAAGGATACGTAGGCATTGGGGTAGGGCCCAAACGAGTACAATTTTATTTTCCCTACATTCTTTTCTCATTTCTTTTGCATACATTCTTTCTCAGTAGTAAACAGTAAGCATAAATTAACACACCCATAAGATAGATAACAAGAGTGGATACCGTAGAGTACTACGAGCGTGTGGGGTGCTAATACCTTCCCCTCGCATAACAGACTCCCTTACCCGATCTCTCAGTCGTAATACCTTGAGAAGGGAGAAGTCAAAGGGAGACTATCCTATTTCTAAACCTAATGTTATTATGCAATGGTGGTCCTAAGATTTGGATTAACTAAAAGGAAATATCTACCTAATGTTAGCATGCATAGTTTGCAGTAAAGCCCTACTTCTCATGATTTCAAGAAAAGAGATAAAGAAATACAATAAAGTGCATAAATGAGGGATAAATTAAGTTCATGATGATACCGAACGGAGAAGGTTCGTTGCCTCTTCATAATCACACAAGCAATAAGAAAAATCTACTAAAAGCTCCCTCGAATTCCCTTGGTGAAAATTATGCTCTTAGATAGCTTATAAGCTTCTTGAAAACTTCCTGTAAATCTCTTTTGTCCAATAATATCACACAAAATAATTGGCAAAAAAATGTTGAAACAAGTAAGAAACATAGAGAAAATAAATAATACCAAGGGGGTGTATAATTGCATGCAGGTGTATAGCCCAGCAATGGAACTCTTGGTGCTGGGCCCATTCAAATTGAGCCCACGATATTACCCTTTTTTGTTTGTAAAGCCAACAGCCACCCTCTAAAAAAATGATAACGGGCCTTTGAAGTTCAGCCCACCTGACATACCATCACCGCCTATTTTCAGATTTTTTGTCACAAAATACTAAAATAAAATAAAAACAAAATAGGAATAATCAGATAAAATTGGAAGAGGATTAGGTTTGGTCATCGTGTGGCTGTGAAAGAATTTCTTCTTCGATTGAAGCTAAAAATCGCCGTCGATTCAGTTCCAATCAGAGCTCATGTCGTCGTCTCAAACTCGCTCTCTTCTCGTCTCCATCGAGCTCGATATCTATTTCTTCCTCCAACGACCGTCGTCACCACATCGCGATTGCCTTCGTCTCAGTTTGATCCGGTCTTAACCTTCTTTCCTCTGTGGATTCATCGTCACTCCAAATTGTTCCATATCTCAACAAAGAACTTCGAAATCCTCACCTTTAGAGATGGATTTAGATGTCGAATTGTAGCTTCAGATCTTGATTCTATCGTTTTCTACATGCTCACAAATAGAAAGATAAATAAATGAAGAATCATGAATAACCAACTGGTATACCATCGGCGGTTCTTGAAACCGAGAGAAACATTGAGACAACCGAGAATCTTTAGGTATATTCGCTCCTTCTTCCTTTTATATTCCTTCAACCTTATCTTCCGATTAAAATTCCTTCTGTGAACAATATGTACTTCTGTGATGTTCTATGTCTTCGTGCGTTATGTTGAAATAATGGAGCGTTCTTGTTACTGCAGAGGCTGAAGGATTAAATTGAGGATGATAACTCGATGCAGAATCTTTGTTGTTGATGGCTGAAATGTGATGAATGAAGGTGATGTTGTGTAAGAGATTGAAGGTGCATTGAAAATGATGAGGTTACAGAAGAAGGTGATGTTTGAAGGACGTTAGGGAAAATGTAGAAGGTGATGATGGAAGAAGGAAATAGAGAAAGAAGACGGTGAGTTTTTTCTGTTTTTCTTCCCTTCTCAATCGATAATCTCTCCCTCTCTTATTTTGTTGTTATGTCATCTGTTTTCAATCTGTTAGGAAATCTCTGTTGTAAGTCTGTTGTAGAATTGGTTAGAGGTGGTTGTGAAAATTGAGGATGAGGGTGAAGAAGATGATGAATTTAGTTGAGAATTTGGAGAAAGTATGGAAAAAATGGTGGTTAGGATTTGAATGTGAGTTAATGATTATATATATTGGGGAAGTGAGGATTTAAGTTGGAGGTGAATCAATCTCAACCTTAGGATCGAATTGATTCTGTTATTGATCTGAGGGTGAAAAAGTGAGCAGTTAGAGAGGTTGTAAATTGGTTATGAAGTTGGTTAGAACTTGTTTGTGCTTCTGTTTTGGCAGTTGGTGAGTTAATTGGGAAATTTTTCTGTTGGGGAATGTTTTGGGAGTTTGTTTGGATATGTTAGTTTTCTATTATAGGGGTGGTTAGTTAGTTAGAGATTGGTTAGATTGGTTAGAAGTTGGAAACTGTTAAAAAACATTTAGGGGTTTAGGTTGTTCATTTAGTTAGTTTTGGTTAGGAGATTTCCTTTCTGTTATAATTCTGTTATCTTTTTTTCTGCTGTAAGTTCCTGTTTAAAGGTCGTTATGAAACATTTACAGGACCGTTTGTGAAGTTAGTTTTTGTTCTTGGTGACGGTTTGTTGTTAGAGCTCTGTTAGTTACAGGTTTGGGTGAATGAGGTTTGGAGGTTAAAACTTATATTTGATGTTTTTAAAAGGTTGGTTGAAATTCTATTTTGTAGGGTATTTAGGTGTATGATGCATGATCAAGATGCATGATTGTGGTTGAAGGTGTTGCAGATATTGATTGAAGATGCAGAGGGATGAAGCAATAGAAGGTGGTTTGAGAATTATTGAAGGTGATGTTGTGAAGTGGTCATTGAGAAGTTGCGGAAGATTGGTGCAAGAGGAAACCGTGGATTGGAGGTCGGAGTTGATAAAGGTTCAGAGAAAGAGGGGATTTCCTGATTTTTTTTGTGAAGTTTCTGTTATGAATTCTGTTAGGATTCTATTGTATTTCTGTTAGGAATTTTTAGAAGTTAGTTGGACTGTTTTTGAAAGGATAGGAATCTGTTGGAGAGGCAGTTAATGGGTTATTTAGATGTTTTTGTTTTGATAGTTAGAATTCCGTTAAGATGAGCTGTATTTTCTGACTTAATCCCTTCTCAATTTCCTGCAGGCCAACCGTTATGTTAAGACAGGAGCTAGTTTTCGTAGCCGCCTGGTTTCATCTTATGTTTGTCGGATGCCTAGCGAACTGATTCTGCTTATCAATTTATGCAGGTCTGTTAGAAACTATTGTTTGCTTGAGCATGTTTCACATGAATTATGGCTTTGCTTTGAACACCATGCAGGTGTCAACTTGAATGTGTCGTCTTTTAAATTTGCAGGCTTATCAAAAAACCGAATTTCTTGCTCATGACCAACTTAGTGTTACCTTTTGAACACAATGATGCTTAGGTTTTGCTTTGCAAGTTTACTTCCACGTCTGCATTAATAGGGATTTTAAAATGATTTTTAGGAATGGATTTCATGGGACAGAGGTGCATACTGACTTGGTGTTTTTCCGGTCTTATTTCCTTGGTGACACAGGTTCAGAGATGTCCATATTTAAATGCTTTGGAACTATGATGTATGAGTTGGAACATAGGCTGCAGTTTCAATTATAGATTGCAGGGTCGTTTGAACTTTGGCTAATTAAGATTTGCTACCTTAATGATGCAGGCTATGAAGAGTTGAAGAACGACAGAGGGCTTAAAGAATTAACTTGGATAAGAAGCATAGTATCAGGTTAAATGGAGACTCGACTCATGGTGTGAAAAGTAGGAAAAGGCTTTGTCATGGGACTTGGATTTATTTGTAACTTTGTCATATTCGGTGTATTTTCTTGTAATGATTTTGTAAAAATGAGTAATGATTGCGTGAAGTTAAATAGAACTTGAATGATTTTTTCTTGACCTTGGTAATTCCTTGGACACTTGAATGAATTTGTAAAAACCCCTTGATAGACATTAAACTAAGTTGTTTGACTTTACAAACTTGTCTTGAGAATTATGGATGCCCTTTGAATAAACCTTGTTTGACTATAACCATTTTACATTCAACTTGAACCTAGATTAATGTCATGACCATACTTCGTTAATGATTTTATAATTTAACTTGTTCTTCAAGAAATCTAAATGCCCTTCTTATTTCTAAAACTCCAAACAAATCTAATCCATGACGTTAGGTAGCACTTCAAATGACTCTAAATAACGATTCCATAAAAGCCAAACCAAGTCAATCTCGCCTCCTCGCAACAACTTTTAATTCCCCCCTTAGTCCCATCTTTTGTAATCAAAGAAACATATAACAATGCCTTGGTCATGTCATACGTCCACAATATCACCTTTGTACCATGGCTTGCATTTTGCAATCTAATTCACACTATATCTTAATTTTATGGATAATAACAATGCCTTGAGGGCGCCTTGAAGTATAGAAAGAAATATAATATGAAACTCAATGAACCCTAGTTTATAAATGTTACAAATTCACACATAGAAAATATGACACACTAGTCCACTTGTGCTTGATGAATTCTTGATGGAGGATGACCTTGTAGCTTGATGAAGAAAGATCCACAACATCAATGAACACAAAACCCTAATCCCACAATTTCACTGCCTTGGGAAAATAACCAGAAAAATCAAGCTTTATTGAACATATACACCTTAGCCAATTGACAAAACCCTAATCATGTTCATAAAAACCATGGATCTAATGCTAAGCTTATTGATTAATGATGCACAAAGTGTCAAATGACCTAATGTAGTGTTTGCAGATGAAACGAAGAGTGCAAGATGCGTAAGCTAGATAAAAGTAAAGGGGTAGGACAAATTTGGGGTATTACACCAGCCTTGAAACATCATAAGTAAATCAATCCATGCCTCGTATGTGTGTATTTCCGACAAGATTATTAATGTCACAGTATATGGTATTGGGCCTAATCAACCTAATTCTATATGCATTACAGGTAGGATAATGGTTAAGGGACCACGAGGACTCTGTAGTATGGTAGAGATTGTTATTTGGGAGTAGGCTCATGCCAAGAGTTTGGAAGTAAGGAGGACCAGAGCACTTGGTTGAGGTTATAGTAAGAGTTATGCATTGAGTAATATGGAAATGTATGATGGTATATAGTTTAGGCAATCTTGTATTGCTAAAGGAGTTGAGAAGTTAAGGATTTATATGGGATGTTTGTCAGAGTTTTGAAAAATGAATGATCTTATTATTGAACTGGATTGACCACTGGTATAGATAGAATTTTCAAGTAATTTCATACAGTGGGGAAGAAAGGATGTTTTGTTGAGCGTATGTCATAATGTGTGGAAGTGAGGTGGTGCATCAATGTTTCAGATTCTAAGGTCACTAGAGCTTCTTAGGAGAATTGGAGTAATTCATGGAGTAAATATAGAATGGTACTTTCAGAAAGGGTCAAAGGTTTGAGAGGTATTAAAGTTTAGTGAAATCTAGTTAAAGGACTAAGTCAGTGGTGGGATATGCAAAGAAACTCAAGGATATGACTGCATAATTCCGAGCAGGGCATAGCTGCATCAGGAAAATAATGTAAGATAGACCAAGGGTATTCATATTTGGAATTAAGATTGTGTTTTGGATAAGGCATTAGAAATTCAGTGTTAGTGCAAGATTGTTATGGAAAAGTTGAATTGTCCATATAACAATTGAAAGAGATTTGTATGGAAAGTGATAGTGATTATTTCAGGTCCAAGGAATTTTAAATGGAATGGTTCTATAGTTGGAGTTAAGAGGATTACCATCGTGATGTGAGGAGTTTAGAAGAAGGTATAATAAGGTCATTAAGGCTTCATCGATGCCAAGATAAGAGTGTTCAATTGGTGATTGTTCACGTGAATATATTTTAGAGTATGAGGTGAATTAGAGAAAGTTATACATTGGTATTAAGAAAGTATATGATTGTAGTGTTCAGGTCATAAGTATATACTTTAAATTTTCTCTTGTGTTGGGATAGTTGCAAAGTGTCACACTCTTTATTTCAAGAAAATGAGTTTTGTATTCTGGGAGTCCAAGTATGTGGTAAGCAGCCGAGAGCGATCCAAGCTTCGATACATAACTAAGTATGACTCATGAAAGGAACTGTATTTGGGGATTTTGAGAGTAGTTGATAAGAGTGGTAAGTTATAAGTCGTCCAGTGAAGTAGCATCCATGTAGTAAAGTGTTCAAAGGATGTTAATCACGAAAGTGAATCCAAGTTGGTAAGTATATGGGAATGTCAAGGTTTGTCTTGAGTGTTGATATTCAATAAGCAATAGTGAGATGGTTTATTGGAAGTTATGTTGTTGTTGTCTTTTGAAGTAGTGTTGAATTGTTTAATCAAGAATCATGACATTCACACTTTGTTAGAATTAAGTATATCAGACTTTATTTGGTTAATCATTATGGAGTTGCAAGTTATTCTAGATTAGAGGATTGTTTTGAAATTGGAATTTATGGGGATGTCTTGTGTAGAGGTTATATGTTGAGACGTCGGGGAAGTTAGACACTTTTTGAGCTAACTTTATAACCCTGCTTAGTGTGAGTAAGTATTGAGACTAACACTTATATGATTAATGAGAATAATAGAGAGTGAAGCTTAAAAAGACTTACCAAGTGGTGATCTCAAGAACATCAGTTCGTTATCTTGCTTAGTGATGATAGGGTATATGTAGGTAGTTATGGTATAACATCGAGATAATTCACTCAGATACAGGGCCTCGAAGGTAGACCCCCATGAGACTGGTACTAGATGTAAACAATACTACTATATCTTATTGGTAATACTTGTGAATGATTATTTCAAGAAGGATTGAGAAATGGGGGATTTGGTAGTTAAGTACATAAATCAGACTACGTATGAGTATGAACTGAGTCACAATAATTTTCCATCAGATGAAGCAAGGCAACTAAGATGAATGGTTTTGGATAGGAAGTGTAATGTATCCCCTTATATGTGATCAATTGTGTATCTATGTTAGCAACATTGGAAACTCAAAATTGCATTATTTTTTGGTAAGGTTCCTTTGGCAACATTATCTCGTTGAAGGCTTGAAATTTTCTAGATGGTATTGAATTGTTCGTTAGTTGGATTTTTGTGTCAGCATAAACTGTGATTGAGTCAGAACCCTACGAAGGACTTAGAATGGATTGTAACATTAAGTCCTAGGAAGTGTTGGTCATATTCTTCATCCTTATGTAGGCAAGAAGTTTATTTGGCATGAGAATGATTGGCAAGGTTCTAGTATGATTGTAAGAAGTTAGTGTTCAGAGGAAGTGTGGATTTTCTAAGATTTGTATAAACTAGTCAGTAGTACTTGTGATCCCATGTGTTTCATGGTGATCATTTGGTAAATTTCACACATTAAAGAGTTTTGGATAAAAGGAAGTGGTGAAGTCTTGTGACGGATCATATAGGTAACTACTTGCAAGGATGAAAGTAAGACAATCTCATGCAAAGTGTTTTATTTTGTTGGACTAGTATGAGAGAAATAGAACATCAAGTGTACGTGTGGTAGTATGTAGTATCAGGCCAAGTAGGGTTGATAGAGTTATGATCAGGAGAATTATCATGTTTGCCACATTTGTTGAAGGAATTATACGAGAAAAGTTGAGAGTTATGTATATATTGTGGAATTAGTAAGGTGTCTCATGAAGTTTTAGTAAGTATGGACTATCCAATCAGAGTAAGGTGTTGTGGTTAAGAATTTTGGTTAACTCGGCTCAGGAAATAGTATGTGACAGAGTCAGAGTGGATCAGTGACAACCAGTTTAGAATGGCATGTCAGACGAGTAGAGTATAAAAAGGTTAGAAGTTAATTTAATATTGGAAATGAGAATATGTTTAAGTTCAAGGAGTTTTTAGGATTCACAAAAGAATTGAATTTTTGCAGTAAAGATAAGTTGGAAATTTAAGTATATCAGAGGATTAGACAAGAAGTGAAATCAAGTGTTGACCAAAGACGGTGATGTAAAAAGCTTTCTTTTCTTTATTTGTACAAAATTCGAGGGAGAATTTCAATTTAAGAGGGGGGAGAATGTAATATCTCGTATACCCTTAAGTATTCTAAAGGATGTTAGTTGGGACAAACTGAGTTACTAAGTGCTATATTATCTGTCAGTTGTTGTCAGTTGAGGTCAATAGAGTAATAAATGAACTTACAAAAGATAAAGCTTTGTTAAAAGAGACTGACCATTATTAATTAATATCATAATGAGCATTTTTTAAAATATTAATAATGGGTCAATTTCTCTAATATATATATATATATATATATATATATATATATATATATATATATATATATATATATATATATATATATATATATATATATATATATATATATATATATATATATATATATATATATATATATATATATATATATATATATATATATATATATATATATATATATATATATATATATATATATATATATATATATATATGCCATGGAGATATTTCCTTTTCTACTTTTAATTCCAACCACACATATATTATGACATATAAGTATATATATGTGGTGGTGATAGTATAAGAAGAAAAGAAAAGGAAAAACAGAAAGAAAAACCATTCAGAAGAAATAAGAGAAAAGAAAGAATATAAGAGAAATGGAAGAAGAAAGAGGAAACTTGAAGAAGAAGTCCATCACTATCATCAATTCAATTTCATCATCTTCATCACCATCACTAAACTTCTTCATCTTCATCTATTAAAGGTGAGTCCCATAGTTG